GTTTGTGTGAAGGCAGTGTTTGCGGGGAATATAAATATTTGGTGCCGCATTGTCTGCGAAAATTTGAAGTTATTGTGATAAGGCGCAGCGCAGACAAGAGTTTCCGCATCGCAACGTGTGAATACTGCGGGTCAGCTGTGGTACATTATCACTGCACGTTATCACGAGCTGGATACTTTTGCAACGCTTAATTAGTTTGATCAATTGCTCAAGTAGCTACGATGCAATGCTTGTTGGCAAAATATTGGAGAGATATGAAAACCAAAATGATAACAGAATAGTCAGAAATTCGAATTTTATGAGAGGAAAACTTTGAAAGATATCGTCATTGTACGCCTTGCACTCAACAAACAACTGATAATAATCTTGTATTTTGCAATACATTTATTCTGCTGTCTTGGTCTGTTTGTCCTTTTCTAAAGCACGATATATTTTTGATAAAGGTTTTGTCACATTTTGTCTTAATTTCTCCAAAATACTTTCTAAATAACGGAAACATTGCAGTAAAATCATGTCCCCATAGGAACAAAGTACTAACATGTGAAGTCAAACAAATGATCATTTATGCACAGATAACTTTAAATAATAATCACTCTCGTTACAGACATAAACTGTGCGCTCTCCAAGGCCAGGATATCCACGTGTGAATCACTTCGACACGTGTATGAAATGCCAACTTTTTATCTTAATTCTCATCAAATATCATCCTGAACCGAAACATTGTTGACTTACTCCATTGACCGACTGATAACAACAGCTTTGACAACAGCTTATTTCAGTACACCATTTTCAACTTAAACGTGAAGCAGTAAGGTTCGCAGTTGTTTTACCTTTACTTTATACGTTTGTATTTATGGACTGATTTCGTGCAACTTAATCTTTCACTTGAGAAAGTGATTATGTGGCTTTAGTTTAACCTGGAATGATATCACTTCTACATTTGGACTAAAGAAAGATTAATTTTGGCGTTTAAAGTACCTATATGTAAGAGATTGTGCTCTTGTTATTGGGTAAAAGAGTAAAAGCAATTGATTGTTAGGTCATGCACGTGACAGTTCATTGCTGCATTACCCTCTTGTATATAAGTTGATTTCCTATAAATTCCACGCGTGGCGCGTTGGAGATCGTAGTTTTAATGTTCAGGTTTACCGTACAGGAGAACGGTGTGAGACACCCGCAGGAGTGGTGACAAAAGTGTTCTATTTCCCGGTCTCCACATTGCTCCACATACTCACACGTGTAGGTTTATAAAAATGCGTTTGTAACCTAACTCGTGACAATAACAAAAAGTCCTGAGTCCGTTCCGGTTTATATCGATGTCGTGTGTGAAAGATTCCCAATCTCACAGATTATCACCGATGTCCTTGGGTTACATCAGAGTTCCGGGATTATTAAAAGCGGTATTTTTAAAGACGATCTGTTTCGGTTGATTTATCAAGTGCATCTTATGTCATATCTGCGTGCTGCGTCACTGCTATGGTCAAGGTAACTGGGCACGCAGTAACCCGCTTTTTTACTTCTACAGACATGTGATAATAATTATTGTGGGACTTTTTTATTGCTCTAATTCTTTCAAGGAAACATTCTTCTTGTTTTTTATGTGATTAAAATTAAATTGCTCGTTTATATTCATTAAATTCTGTCAGTTTTTTTAAATGATAATTATGCATAATGGATGTATTTTAAGACATTTGTTCTTCCGCAGATTTGTAACAAAATGTTGTCTACAGTAGAGTGCGTACTTACTTATAACAGACGTAGAAATCCATTCTCAAAGCTAAGGCCTAAGTGTTTGGAATAGAAAACGTGCAAAACAAGTTTAGGTACTTCGATTTAGTCATCTCTTAATAATGTACTTATCGAATTATACTATAAATCACACAATGATAAGCCTGTTACTATTTTCCAGTGGAAATGAACTTTGAAGGTATCACAAGACTGTGAGCCGTGATTCATACCCTCAGGGATGTAAGAGTCAGCCAGCGAGCTGAGCTGACCCACTTGTGAGCTGTTACACGCGCCAAGAGATAACACAATGGACCGCCGCTATGTTTTTTCAGGTCATTTGGTAATTGATTACTTTTTATTGACACATTGTTGTTCTGTTTGTTTATTTGTGTATATTAAACCATTCGTGATATTTTTTTACTATGTCAAGTACATAATGATACTTATGATTTATTTTAAGTAGTGAAGGGGTAGAATGAGGACGTCTCGCAGGTTTTTGTAACTGACGCATCATATACCTGTACAGATGTTTACGGCCAATTGCCATCGATGTAGGCAGCAATATTACCTGCAACAAAAATGACATATTAATGACTTATTTATACTTACTAAGAATATTTGAGTGACATTGATTGTCCTGTTAGGTGTTCTGGAAGTATAAATTTTTGCAAGATGTATTTTGTACTCGAATCAATATACAAAGAGCGATTAGTGACCAAACGCACGTAAATGTCAGCAGGTGTAGTCGAGTGTTGAGTATAGTCGTAAAATGAAATAAATTCGATTTGTATGTAAACACGCTCGCAATAGGATATCTAGTTTTATTCACACGATAATACACATTTCCTAGTTTTTTATGTCAATGACCTGTTCGCGAAACAAGTTCGGTGTAAAAAAGAATCGAATGAGTTACTTTACGTAACCGGAATTTGTTTGCTATGTCAAGTAGAAGAATATGTGAATATATTTAGAACACCTATCGTGCAAGGTCACACGGTATATTTTCGCAGGTTTATGGTTCCAAGGTACCCATGGTGTGACAAGAGGCGAGCATGGGATGCCATTATAACACTACTGTGTGAATCATAATAATAATAACAAAAAATATTACGTTCAGGCTTTGTGAGATGTCCTTATAGAAGCTCATTTTTTTTGGATTTTTTTATATCTAACTCTGGTTAAATTATGTAAAAGTGTGATTCGTCTGCAAATACATAAACTCACGCCTCTGTGCATTGGGGGTAGACAGATAATAAACATTATACACGTATTCGTATATATATCTATGTATGTTCTATATGCAGAATAAGAACTGAGCACTTAGTTGCTGGCCAGTGATTAGCTATGTAAATATGAACAGATAACATTTAATATCTGGTTGTAACAATCAGAATAGACAATGAATCTTTGTAACGTTACGGTTCAGTTCGTCAGTACAACTGGCCATTGCTACAACAGCTCCTTGTTTACCTTAGTTTTACATAAAATACATAAAAGTACATTAATTGACTACATCGATTACTTTTATGTGCAACATTAAACCGTGGACTTTGGTTTATTATTTACTAGCGACCCGCCCCGGCGTCGCCCGGATATTAATGTTTTTCCAAATGTACTACATAGTACTACTACATTATGCATGTAATTATAAACCTTCCTCTTGAGTCACTCCATCTATTAAAAAACCGCATCAAAATCCGTTGCCTGATTTTAAAGATCTAAGCATACACACACGGCGGAAACAGACTTTGTTTTATACTATGTAGTGATTGTTGGTAAATCCTCGTTGTAGTAGTTAATTTCAATATAATTATGTAGATGGAACTAGACTATTAAATAATTATTATATGAAGAAGTAATGGGTCATTTAATCCCCGAAGGTTTTATGTAACACCTAGATATCTTTCGTAAGTTTTATAATGATTTCTATGTAGTAGGTAAGCCATGGTAGGTAGAGAGTAATACATAATACAACTTTGCCCATCACTGGAACCGAACGCGAGATTCCTAGTTCACCAGTCGAACTTTAAAACGATTACGCGGAAAATTAAGAATGAAAACAAGATAATGTTTGAAACAGTTGTCCAGTTCTGTAAGACATGAGTCGTTGGAAAAGTTTCCATGTGTATAAAAATAAGTGGAGAAGGTAGGGGCACGCTGCACGCTCGCCCAGGCTCCACGTGCGACACGCGCCGCTGTTGCGGAGGCGGCACCGTGTGCACACGTGGCACAGTCCCTGACTGGCTGACTGCCACCATTGCAGTGCAGCCTTCCACTACAGCCAGCTACTGTTGCTAACAAGTAACTTTGGGTGTAGGTTACTTCGAGGTTACATTCGTTTACTATCAAATGATATATTAATAAGTACTTATACGTGTTACTTGCGGGTTACTGATCATAGCGTGATATTTAATTTTATTAATTGCCTTCCTCGATAAATGGACTATCCAATACAAGAATAATTATTCAATTCGAATCCGCACTTCTGGAGATTACCGCGTTCACATAAACAAACACATAAACAAAATTTTCAGCTTTACAATATAAGACAAGTATTTTTTTTTAAGGGTGGGGAATCATCGAGTCACTGCTCCAGTCTGGGTGAGGCGGGAGGGAGTGTCGAGACTCTTCCCCGGTAACCCGTTAGGTTCTCCAAGTATATATAAGCACGAGCACGATTTGTTAACATTAGAGGTACAAAACATGAGAATCAATAGACAACTTTTTGTATTATATTTACTTTGTGCTTTGGATGTCACTCACAATTAGTGTTGCTAAATAATATTGTAACGAAGTTTATAGTAATCTAGAATGTTTTGTCATTTACCTACACGTGTATATTCAAATTTTAAATCATACAAGACGAAAAACTGTATTAACATAACTTGTTTCAAAAATAATTATTATTATATTTGAAACCACGGGTTATGTAACTTGTAGCTAATAATACAATTGGAGTTTTCTTAAGAAAGATTTATTTTCTTGACGATGTTTTTTACAAGCAATGGTTTGGACTCTTGACCTGGCGTTAAGCGACGATGCCGCATACACATATGTTTAAATTTAATATATCACACAATGTAAACAATAACAATAGGTATTACAGTGATACATTTATACATCTGTCGTTTCCTAAAGGAATATAGAATTGGTAAGATTCAAAAGCCTTGTCTCCGACGTAAGTTGAAGAAGGTACGTTTGCAAGAGTTGCAGCAGTAAGCTCAGTGGTTGTGTGTGCGTGGTGCGGGCGCGTGTCGTGTGCCGCGATATATACGGCGGGCGGGCGCCGGCGCGGCCAGTGTGCCGCTCCTCGCACAGCCATGACGACGCTCGCCCCGTACATGTTCGCGCTCCTGCTGCTCCTGCCCGGTGAGTACGATACCGCGCAGTGAACACAACCCAGTGCATTTATACTTATAAGTGACATTACAGTGGTGATCGACCCAATTCATTATAATAATAGTGATAATTTATTCAAAATATAGGGTAGTTTTAAGTTATGTTACAGTGGCAAAAGTATTGATAAGTTATAAATCTAGTTAACGTATGCACTTGGTACAATGACGAGTGCAGGTCGTCATACTTTGTAGGTCGGTGAAATTATTCCACTATTACTTAGTAAACCAAACGACACCTCGACCTCTGCTGACCCTGCAGCAGAAAAAGCAATATTGGCAATTTGATATCTGCCAGTAACTATGTATGTCGAGACGTCACGGGGCGCCGGGCGCTGCGCGGGCGCACGCTACATCTGCTGATAATGTACTCAATACATGACATTGACAACTATCAATAACATTTGTTTTCATTCTCGTGATTCATTTACAAAATGTGTTCAACGCTGAAGTAGATATCAACTTACTGAAAATTGGGTCACTTGTAACAATAGTAGTTCGGTAGTGTTCAATGAATTTGAAATAATTGTAAAGTGTAGACTGTAGGTATAAATAAGATGGATACGGTGTATAATTTATAATAACAATTAAATACATTAAAACTAGATTTACATAGAGTATAACAGAATATAAATAAAATCGGCCGTAGTAATGAATTGTAAGTAAAAGTACTTGTAAATATGAGCTACCCGGTACTCTTCATCACCGTACGGTTTAAACCTCGTAGCTTTCGTAGCAACTGCTACGGCTACGGACTACGAGCTACGATGCTAAGGTTTGCAACCGAAAAATGTATTCACATTACATTCACAGGTTATTTTAAAATAGAGGCTTTTTGAGAATGTAATAAATATACAATATATTTTTTAGTGTTAAAGACATGTAGCTATCGTTTATTTACTTTAAAAAATATATGTTTGTGGAATGTAACGTGCTACGTAAAAATTTTCTTAAAGAATTAATTTTCTTTAGAAAAAAATTACATACTGTAATTATAGATAAGTTTAGATAAATGCGATGACAGTACAGTATACATGAACTCGCACCTTTATAACATAGGGTAATAATAAATAACATAATGATTAATAATCAGATATATTTTAACAATGAAAAGTGTTTGGGGTGTGCCAATGTGAATTTTATACAAAATCGTTGTAGACAATATAAGATTCAGTTTTCATAACATTATGTTTATTATAGACAATTGGTATAATGTTTAAACTAACATACATTTTACACGCAATAGAAAGATATTAACATCAACACAAATGTACACATTAGAAGATTATTTATTATTTATTTGTACATTTGATGGTTTCAGATTGGCGGGTAGAAGGTAATTATCGAGTTTATAAGAGACTGTGTCGAAATAACGTGATGTGGCGGAGTGAAGTAGAATGTTTACGGGACCTGAGGTTATCTCCCGCAGTCAGCTTAGGAAAGCGGATTAATGATAAACCGGTGCTTGCGTACACGCTGCACAGATTGCAGTACCTGTGCACTGACGTACGCACTGAGTTGCGAGGGCCAGCTTGTGTGTTTGTTTGTCATTACACAAGAAATTACACACTTCTACATAATATATTTCTGTTTCTCACAAAAAAAGAAATAATATGATTATATGAAAAGTAAAATTGTTTATTACACAAATTACGAGACTCTGTGTAACTTTTTAATAGAGGATTTGGATTTATATTACATAGATTTCACTTTTGAGTTTTCGATTAAAAAAGCGGAATAATATGATTTTAATTAATAAATAGGTGTCTATGGATCTATTATTTAACATTCTGACGTTATCTTGTTTATGATATCAAATAACGACAAATGTTATATAACTTTTTCTAACCCTGAATCAGATTAGGTTATTTGACAAATTGGTTTCTTGTTTTCTGACCTTTTGCATTTGTATAAACTGGTGTATGAAGTTACGATTGACACAAAATGATGTATAATTTACACATACGACAATCTAGAACTAGTAGATAGAACAATTCGTTATAACGGATATTTAGCACACTGATATAAGAGACTGATTTCACTGTTGAAAACTGTGTGTCACTGTGTATTCCATGCAGATCGAGTTAGATGTAACTGTCCAAATAGTTCGTTCGGCTACACGTGTCCGCCGCGAGACACAAGGTCCTAGGTACAATAACTCCGGTTACTTGTCGCACAAAAAACTCCGCTATTCTAAGTGTACCTCATGCTTCATAATAATCTCATGTCATGGGTTAATGGTATACTTACAAAAAACACATACTTTTTGTCTAATTACCGAACAATTATTATTTAAATTATAGAGCCTTGTTTTTAACAATAAGTATTGAAGTCACAGAGATGGGGAACACAATCGATTGTTAACATTTAAACGGTCACAATACTAAAGTTGGCAACACCTTGTCTAGCCAAACTGTATAATACGGAGTTCGCATACGACATACGTTCGCCATTTAGAGTACCGTATCAATCAGGAGACATTCCTATTATTTTGCAGACAATACATAGACGGAACCGTTACTATGTGCTGAGCGGAATAATAACTATATAGCTGTATAGTCGAGTGTAGCGTAGGCAGTAGGCAGGTCAATGGTTTACACAAATCATTTGTGTTTTCATTGTTATTATGTTCAATGGACGTTTTACAATTTAGTGCTGATATTTTTCCTGTATCGTGGTTTTGTTTACAAACACAAGTTACATATTATTATGTTCAAAGATATTATTTAAACGTATCAAATGATGTAATTAAGCTCCTGCCGTAACGCAGTGTAGGTTTGATTTTATTGTCACGTTAAGGTCATCCAGTATAAAGAAGCTATTTATAACAAGATTAATTAAATAAAACATATTATTATGAACATTGAAGAAACCGGTTTTGTTTTGAGGACTATGAACACGTGTATTTGAAACAGGAAACATATAAATACAACTATGAAATGAAACAAGGTAACATACAAAACGTTTGCCTCGGACACTTGGAGGTAACTGTTTTCTTTCTGGTGGTTGGTTGTATGTGTTGTCCAATATTACTTGTACCGTCTAATTCTGAACATTATTTTGTTCTTGTAAACTTATTAAATGAAATAAAATCTTAGGCTTCTGAGTAAGGTGTTTCAGGTACGATTGCAGCCTTACAAGGTCGGGCTGGCATAATTCATATCATTGAGAATTTCATTTTCTTAGTTAGACAAAAAAGGTACTTGTGAAAGTCAAACAAAACTATCTATTTGTCCGCTAGTGATCTGGTTGGGGTGAAATGGAGAAGTTACCGTATCACACAACACGTTAATGAATTGCATGATCGATAAAAATATGGAACGTTTCGAAGCTTGTTTTATATCTATCTATTGTTACGATTGTTGCACTACACGTGTACATCTGTCCGTATGTATGTTACGTACAGAATCAGTTGTTATGTATTAAATAAGATGTGCTCAGTAACAGTACAATAATAGAATGTTATTCTCTGCGTTACAGCGTGTACTGGCCACGTGTTTCCCTCGGAGCGATGTCGAGTGAGCGCGCGCATCGAGTCGGGGACCGTGTGTGGCGTGGAACGAGTAGCTGACGGGGACGTCAAGTATGCCAGCTTCAGAGGAGTACCTTACGCTAAGCAACCATTGGGAGAACTGAGGTTTAAGGTAAACTCATTGTGTATGTACTATTTATACTTATACTTCAAGATAAGGAGTCATCAATTTGTAAACATGACAGATAGGTGCAGTAATAGTGCACTTTTTACACTAAAACATTACATTCGTGTTATTGTTTAAAGAATTCATACTAATGTTATTATTATGCTGTCATGTATAAACAATGGAACCGATTTGGTGAGAGAAGGCTTAGGGATTGTTGTCTTTTCTAAATTCGACGATGAGCGATGCGCCAGGCTTAATATAATGTTCATAAAGATTACACTTTGAACACGCGGTGTCTTCGGATGATTTATCGGAAACTTGTGAATTACAGGAGTTGGAGCCTGCAGATAAATGGGACTACTACTACGCGACGGACGAAGGGCCGGTGTGTTACCAACATGACGTCTTATACGGACGGCTCATGCGGCCGCAGGGGATGAGCGAGTCCTGCATTCACGCCAACATACACGTCCCAATGGAAGCTCTCCCAGAGCAACATCCTGACGTCAAACTGCCTGGCCTACCGATCCTCGTGTTCATACATGGAGGAGGGTTCGCATTCGGTTCTGGTGATGCGGATCTACACGGGCCGGAGTATCTAGTCAGCAAGAAAGTCATCGTCATCACGTTTAATTACAGGTTTGTTTCAATACTACACTGTTTCTACATCTGCTTGTATTTACTTTGTAATCCATATACATTACTTTTTGTTGTTTGGCAATGGTAGATGTAACTTATCACTTTACAGACATTGTTCTGCTGTTTGCCCAATGATCATGACAAGGACACACGTATGTCTAGATACATATCTCAAAAAAAATCACGTTTCAGGTTGAACGTGTTCGGCTTTTTATCAATGAACACGACGGCGATCCCAGGCAATGCTGGTCTGCGGGACCAGCTGACGCTACTGCGCTGGGTGCAGAGGAACGCGAAGGCATTTGGAGGAGACCCCAGAGAAGTGACGTTGGCTGGTCAGAGCGCCGGAGCTGCGGCAGCACATCTACTCAGCTTGTCCCCAGCTGCGGAAGGGTTATTTAGAAGGTAGGCACCCCATTCAATACTTATACGATACTATTGCACTAGTGTTTGGTTCAGCGCCTAAACAAGTAACTGCAACGTTCATGAACATTCGGTACATAGTTGAAAGTACGGAGGACGTAGGCCGACACTGGACAATAGAGTAAAAGTTCCTTGGTCACAAATATGATAACTCGCCTAACTGCGAAAAAAAATAGCAATAGAAGTTACAATGTCGTCTCGTTTTCTAATTTCAGAGCTATATTAATGAGCGGAACAGCAACGAGTTCTTTCTTCAGTTCCTCCCCTGCGTATGCGCAACATATTAAAAACATATATTTGCAATTCTTGGGCATTACCTCGACTGACGTAGAGGACATCCAACGCCAGCTCATCGAACTACCCGCCGAGAGACTGAACGACGCTAACACCAAACTCATAGATCAAATGGGACTAGTGACCTTCGGCCCCACCGTGGAGTCACCTCTGCCGGGTGTCACCACCATCATAGATGACGACCCAGAGGCCTTGCTTAGTAAAGGACGAGGGAAAAATATTCCTCTTATTGTGGGTTACACGAATTCTGAATGTGAAACCTTCCGCAATCGATTTGAAGCATTTGACCTTATCACAAAGATTGCATCTAAAAATTTTCTTGTAGTTCCACCAAAATTATTATTCACGACTCCACCGGAATCATGGTCGAATTTGGTATCAAGAATGCTCGGAAGATACTCTGACGGTAGAATGAATATGGATGGCTTTGTAAAATCATGTACGGAGGGCTTCTACGAATATCCCGCGTTAAAGCTGGTACAAAAACGTGCGGAACTTGACGGCGCTCCAGTGTTCCTGTACCAGTTCACATTTGACAGTCCGACCAGCATTATCAAGGAAGTCACGGGCTTAAGTTACGCAGGGGCAGCCCATATTGAAGACCTGACCTACGTGTTCAAAGCAAACTCAGTGCTTGAGGGACGGGAAGGGGCCCCGCAGAGCTTGGAAGACTTACGAATGAAGAATTTCATGACGGACTTGTTTGTCCAGTTCATGTCCTGCAGGTAATTTAGACATTTGCCATTCATACAGTAAAATTATCACAATTATTTTGATTCCCTAGTTTTTACTATAATGAAAAATAATATTTTCTGTTGCAGTAAACCGATTTGCGACGACAAACGGTCTTTATGGCCGGAGAACAATGGAGATCAAATCGAAGTAATAGAAGCCCCCGGCGTCTTGCGAACCCACAGCAGGTCGATGAGACAGCTGGAAGTGGTGGACTTCTTCGACAACCTGCCCAGCAGAGTGAACGTGGTGTAAGACTGACCTGCCCGTGCTCCGGCAGTACAGAGAGTGTCGGACACGAGTATTTGATCAAAGACTCTGGTACAGCCGTCAGTACGACAGTTTGCAATAATTTATTTAGATTAAGTTTAATGTCACAAGTCTAGTCGATAACTCACGTCTTGCCTTCGTCTCCGTTTTAATATTGCTATTTGTTCGAATGACAAGTTTTGTGTATTTATAAAGGTGAGATATAATTACTTTATTGAAAGTTTAATGAAGTCGTCCAAATGTTGTCCAATTTCTCAAATGACTCGTGGGTGCTACAGAAATGGGGAGTTTTGATTTCCTATACACTACTACCTCGAGGTTTTATATCACTGAGCTAGGACTTGGAACTTATGTGAATTCAAATTGTAATGTTTAATACAAGTATTGGTGGCTTGTTGTATTTTAATGAGTGAGTGATTGAGAGCATAATTTTTATCATTTGCGACACAGACTTACGATGTTTTTGTAAAGTTAGACATTTTCACAAACAAAGAACATGACAACTAATGTAATAAATGTTAGTGATAGCTATTGCATAGTTATAATTTGCAATTTGTTTCCACTATGTTTATTTTAAGACGAGTTAATGAATTAGACCTTTGTAAAAATATGTTTGTATAGAAATACGACACAGAAATACTAAAAGTCACGAGTCAGTAAATACCCGGGTTCGTGTAGTAATAGTATAAAATCTGTTTATCTTACTTAATTTTAATTATTTATGAAAACTTACAGCTAAACGTACTATTTATTGTCTTTGTTGACTGGTACAAATATATAAATATGAAACAGGTACTTTAACAAACAGGCATGTTCTCACTTCGGTAATTATTTGTTTTCAGTATTTCTGTGTTGTGCGCAATGCATTCCATTTGATGTAATGACACAATGAAGCGACTGATGTAACGTATTATAATTTAAGTGTATTTTAGTTAATCACAATACATTGTAAATATTTCACTTTCTAATGTAATTCGTGTCTTCCCGTGCGACGCCGCTATGAGTACAATGATGCACAGATGCACACGGTTGCATGCTGAATGATTTAATAAAATAATTGCGACGGGCGGATATACATATATATCGCATTTTTATTACCCGACTGTGGCGAAGCACAACAAGAGGGTTATGTTTTTCCTGGATTAGACATTTAATTTATGGAAATGTAAGGGGGAAATAAATTTTATTCTTGGACCTTTTTGCACCCAAATCATTTTATATCCAAGTGCATAATTTTAGATGGTATTCCAAAATAATGTTTTGCAATAGACCATTACAAGTAAAGTTGGCATCTCTTCTAATTAATTTCCGTGCACCAGCCCTGTGCGTGTCATGTCAGTTGTATGGAGAGTCAGATAATGTGGAGAGTACCACCACGCAGTACATACTAGCAACATTACGATATTGAATATCATACACAATAATACACGCATTGTGTGTAACTATTGGGGTTTCCCATTGTTGCGCATGGCAGCAGACTGCAGGTTAACAAAACTACAGCTTTCACACGTTACTAGTCAGTAGACAACGTGTATTCGGTCTGGTTATATTTATCAATTTTACAAAGTTATTATAAATGTTGATATGCAAGCTGATAGTGTTATTACAAGGGGTTCTGACAGGACAGAATGTCATCAGCCTGGCCCAGGGCAGGCTGCGAGGGATCACCAAGGATGGCTACGTGTCCTACACTGGCATACCTTATGCAAGTATTACAGGGACTTTGGGGAGATTCAAGGTAAGTTTAAAGTCAGGTAGCTTGTAGGTACCATGTTTATGATTCATGACAGTTTTTGGCTTTGGTCAAAGAATTTAATTCAATTAACCCGTTATGAGCCGGAACACAGAACCATGCGAGATACGATGTATTTTCTACTGTGTCTTGTTATACCAGCAGTCAAGAGGTTAAAGTATAACAGATCGGTCTGGTTACAAAATAGCATCATGCATTTTCAGAGAGCAGGGATCGCTCCACTGTGGTCTGACATCAGAAACTCCAGGTCGCCAACCTGTTCCTTAGTGTCGGACGCTGAGCACTGCCTTCAACTAGATGTCCATGTACCGTCTGTCGTGGGCGGGAACTGGCCCGTGCTGGTGTGGGTGACGGGAGGTAGCGGCCCCTACAGCCCCGGCAGAATGGTGCAGGAGGGCATCATCGTGGTCATTGTGCATCACAGGTACGACCACAACTCAGGCGTGTATTTTTTTTTAAATTAAATTAGTATTTATTTGGTCTCTGTTCCAGGTTGGGGCCATCGGGCTTTTTATGTTTACGAGACGAGAATATTCCTGGTAACGCCGGCGTGAAAGATGCGGTGTTAGCATTGCGATGGGTGAGCGATAATATAGTTGCTTTCAAAGGAAACCCAGCCAAAGTCGTTGTAGCTGGACAAAGCTTCGGTGCAGCCATGGTGGAAGCCGCACTACTGTCTAACATGGCCAGTGGACTATATCATGGTGCTATATTGCAGAGTGGAAGTGCCCTATGCCCTTGGTCTTTTAACTATGACGCGGAAAAACGAGCCATGGCTTTGAGTAATGTGAATGAGGCGAAAATTGAATTGGTGAAATTCTTACTGGACACCGAAACTGAGGATTTGGTGGCGAGAGGTAACAAACTAAATGTTTCCTATTTCCCATTTGGAATGTGCATCGAAAAGCCTTCGAAGAAAGAAGAAAGGCTGATGTTTGAAGCACCGCACGATATACTGGCGAGTAAGAAGAATAACATGGTGCCTATGATCATTGGATATAATAGTAACGAAGCCTACGTGTTCGTGTCCATGCTGAGGGAGGCTAATGTGTTGAGGAGAATTTCCAAATCTGTCACTTTCTTGTTGCCAGACGATTTACACTTCATAAATGAAAGAGAACGAAGGCAAACTGGGAGACTAATAAAGGACATGTATTTCAAGAACAATATGACGATGGCTGCTGTGTTAGCGTACCACAGGTAAGATTATTTATTTTGCTCGGGGCTCGAACGAGCTGATTAAAATGTTTAGTAACTAGTTTTATAGAATTGTTAACATTCTCCACAGGGACGCCTACTTCTCCAGCCACATCCACCGCAGCGTGCGTCATCACGCAGCTACAGGGCCTGTGTTCTACTACCAGTTCTCATACTCTGGTGTCTTTGGGGTTCAGCCAGAGCCTGGAGTGCCGAAGATGGGAGCAGCGCATTCAGATGAACTGGCCTACTTGTTCTTTGATGGAAATCTTGAAGGAGATGATGGGAATGTGCAGAAGCACGTCATCAAACTATGGACGAACTTTGTGAAACATTTGTTAGTGGGTTTTTGTATACACGAGTTTTTGCATTCAAGAAATGATCAGCATGAGTCCGTTTGACTGTAACCTTCAACATTACACAAAAAATAACCTACCAGACCGTCCTTAGATAACGTACAACAAAGTCCCCTTGCTGTGTCTGCCTGCCTGTGCAGACAGATTAATGGCCGAAATTAATAACAGATCGATCAAAAACATTTGGATATAAATTGACAAAAACTCAATGTCAAAGATTGAGTTCAAAATAAGGTCTAGCCGTCAGTTTATATAACACTAGCTGTTGCCCGCGACTTCTCCGCGTAGATTAATGACTTCTGACAGACTTCAACAGAATCAATTCAGTGCCCAAGTAAGATTTACCTATTGAGACATGATTTATCGTAGTATCAATCAATAAATAATCCCGCAGGGATGTTACCAGTACAGTGCTCGATCACGTAAAGTTTGAGCAATAAAAACTAGTCTATCGACTATTGTTGTACCGAATCTCTCTAAAATAAGTTCAGTGGTTAAGAGATAGAGAGTCCTGGAGCATTGACGGATAGTTCCCGTTCCCGTGGGACTTCTGTCTTCTGATAAAAAGTATCATACGTTACCCAGGTCCCAAATCATCGTTTTACCGAATGTAATTCAAAAAGATTCAATTATTCTAGATTCAATGGCTAAGAAGATTTATACAAACTCTAATTCCCTATTTTATTCCCTTAGGGATGGAATTTATCAAAATCCTTTCTAAGGAGATACCTATGTCATAGTAACTTTATGCATGAAAAGTCTCATTGGTTTAAAACTGGTAAAGTATCATATAAACTTTCACTCCCTAATGGGGTAATCCCCATTGGAGGTGGAAATGATCAAAATCCTTACTTGGGGATGCCTACGTCGTAACATCTACCTGCATGCCGAATTTCATGCCTATTGGTGTAAATCTGAAAGCTTCATACAAACTTTCACCCCCTATGTTAATCCCTTGGGGATGGAAATGATCAAAATCCTTTCTTAGAGGATGCTTACGCCTAAATATCAACCAGCATGCCGAATTTCAACCCGATCGGTTTAATATTGACAAAGTTTCATACAAACTTTCACCTCCTATTTTACCCCCTTGGGGGTGAAAATGATCAAAATCCTTTCTTAGAAGATGCTTACGCCATAATATCTACCAGCATGCAGAATTTCAACCCGATCGGTTTAAAATTGACAAAGTTGCATACAAACTTTCAACCCCTAATCAAAATCCTTTCTTAGCGGATGCCTCCGTCGTAACATCTATCTGCATGCCAAATTTCAGCCCAATCCGTCTTTTTTTTATGTCAGGACTACTTGTAGTTCAGCACGCTAAGCCTGTTGACTTCTTATCCAGACAAACAGTTCGGAAGCTCGGAACCTATACTTTCACCGGTAACGAAACCATAGCGCCATCTAACACGATCCTAACGCCATCTATCGATCGTTGAAACAACAGCATACAATATATTTGCTAATAAAATTGTTGAGTATTGACGCCACTATGATAGATAGCGTAACTACTACATAGACAGCAATTTCGTGTTCCTTTAACAACCTAAAATCTATAAAATATACAATTCAATGTAAAATGGTAGGAACCAAAATTTAACTCATCGAGTACCGTCATTATAGAACAATAGTTTGCGGTCACCGATGACCGCTTGGTGTTTGACAGTTTAAAAGCACAACGTTATCACGTTTTTAAAAATGACATATTAAACAGCAAATAAATGAGTCCAAAAGTGCAGCGAATAAGTGAAGATAGCGCCATCTATCGCCAAGTAGCGTAACTACTATATAGACACCAATTTCGTGTACCTTTAACAACCTAAAATCTATAAAATACACAATTCAATGTAAAATGGTAGGAACCAAAATTTAAAAGCCAAAAAAAGTATTTTTACATCAAACAAATGAGTCGAAAAGTGCACCTAATAAGTGTAGATTAACACCAAATAAGCGCCATAGATTAAAGCGTGAAATTTGTAATTAGTAGGTTATTAGTTGAATTGTTTTAAATGGCATACAGCGCCATCTATACGAATACACAGCGCCATCTATACTAATATTTTTGTTTTCCCTCGGGAATATCACATTTTTTCTGAATAGACAGTACCCTATTATTTAATCTGGACTTCTAACTTTACGTCTGCAATTTCAAAGCAATCGGTTTAGTAGTTATGGCGTGAAAGCGGAACAAACAAACAAACTCACTATCAGATTTATAATATTAGTAAGGATTAAGTACCAGTTGCTGAGCAGGTAAAAAACTGGTAAAAAATAATTTAATACATCCGTAATGTAAACATGCAGGTAGTTAGGAAACACAATAGTAACAATAAGGGGCAGTCAGGCTGTCGCGCACAGCACAAAATATAAAATTAGTATGAGAGAGGAACTTGCCCTGCAATAGCATTATAATATTGTGATTTCAGGAACCCTTCACACCAGGGTGGAGTAAAGTGGGAGGCTACACAGCCTGACACATACCGCCTTCTGGACATTGGCACCGAGCTGATGATGAAGGACTATCCTCATTCGAAGACATCGCACCTCTGGGATGACATCTACGACAAGTACTACTACACAAGGAACCGGATTTCGAATTAAACATCGTTTTACATTATGAAATTTTATTTATATAGATTAATTCCCACAAAATAGGTGAATAATACGTTATCTCATACACACGAACGTCAAAATGAAATATTGTGATTAATGATTATTGAGCTTTACTATTTTCAAATTAGCTGTTCCCCGCGACTTAGTCCGCGTATAATAACGATTTCAGACAAATTTTAGATTTTTTATTGAGTCTTTTTCAAGGTTAATTGCAATACTGTGTAACAAATCTCATCAGAATCAATTCGTGATTCTGATGAATTCAAAAAAGAAACAATCCTACAAGTATATTACCCGTATCCTGTGGGATTTCATTGATTAAATTGCCATTTGAATTCTAATCAAATAGGTACATCGGTTGAAAACTCTTAGACGTCATGTTTCGAGTCTCAAATTATCGTCGCACCGATTCTACTCAAATAATTGCAATGGTTTAAAAGACAGAGAGACCCAGACTTGGTAGTATTGTCACAGATCGGGTTACATTAAATATTTTTTCACACGGTTCCTAATTATTTGTCTGTATGTTTATTTATACCGCTTGAATGCACTGCACAATAGAAAATACATTGTGTCTCGCGTGGATCCACGTTTATACACACGATGGGATAATGAATATAGCCTATGTTCATCATAGATAATATAGGTTGCCGACGGAAAAAAAAATTCAAATCGGTCGGCTAGTTTCGGAGCTTATTCAATTTAAACAAAAAATAAAATCTTTCCTCTTTATGCTACAATAAGTAGATAAGTATACCTATATAACCACAGACCACGTGTATTCAAATTACATAATTATCTAATACTAATGATACTTACAAGACATACGTACAGCTTACGAAGTGAATGTATTTTAGACACAAGATACTTAAGTACCTACTTAGTAGAACAGGCGGTACACAATAGCAAGACATTTACTATTCGTTTACTATTTAATTTCAGTTAATTAAAGAAATTTACATTTCTTCAATAATTTGTTTATCTGAACGTCCGGAACCACAATTCTTGTAAGTACAGCTGTGACAACAACTGTTGTAGGTGGTAGACTAGTACCTACAGCAGTGTGGACAGATAGCAGACCAATTAATTACTCGTTTAATTACCAGTATGTGTCATATATAACTTTGTGGTTATATAACTACGGTACTCTTAGTTGCACGTGAACAAACTCCGACCCAGACACACAACCACATTCAATATTTAACATAATAATTATAATAATTTAAGGCACACAATGTTACGATCACCCTGGACACTTCGTATTACAACATTCATTGTTTGGTTTTGGTGCGGAACGAGAGGAACTGGAAAGCCATTGCTAACTCGGGATAAGGTGAAGTGAGTGAGGGAATGATCTTTTACATGTCCCGGCCGCCGCAGGATCTCAGGCCATCGTAAGAACGGATCTGCGGACGGCGAGCAAGGGTAACTCGCCACCCGAATAGAAACAAATCTGAGCGTAAAGTGCGTCGCGTCCTGCGAGCTCCTCAAAGAGCCACACATACAGTTGATGTCCGACTGGGGTTGCGAATGACCGCAAGGGTTTTTTTTTTTTTTTTTTTTTTAAGGGGGGAAAATCATCGAATGACTGCTCCCGCCTGGGTGAGGCGGGAGGGAGTGTCAGACTCTTACTGACTAAAAACCACCCCGTTCCTTCTCCTGCACGTCGAGCCGGAGCCCCGGTTACCCGTTAGGTTCTCCGCGACTTCGAATCGGCATCGGCCCTATTGGGCCCCATCTGTGGTGGTCTGATGGCTCTTTGAGGCGCGCGCGGAACGCGACGCGCCGTACGCTCGGGTGACCGCAAGGGTTACCGGGGCTCCGCTTGAAGCCACAACTGAAACAGGGTGGTTTTTAGTCAGAAATAGTCTGACACTCTCGCCGCACCCAAGGCGAGATGATTTGATTTGTTCATTTTAAAAATAGCTAAGTAAGTTCAACTTCGATAAAGAGGGTGCCCGAAGAATTCAACTCGGATGGGCAGCGTTAAGGAAATTATGCGAAATCAAAAATCCCGCAAGCCAAATCTTCAAAAGCATGAAGAACCAGTACGTGTTGCTAGTATTGACATACGGTACTTACTGAGACGTGGTCCCTATCTAGTAACTTTTTAGAGAGACTCAGAGTCGCCCAGTGATGGATGGAGGGAGCTATGCTCGGAGTTTCTTTGCGCGACAAAATCCTAATTTAAGGTAAAACCAAAGAATAAAAATTTAGGGAAATTTGCCCAAGAATCAAAGAAAAACAAAAAGCTTTTAAAATCTGCAAGCTGAAGTGGTAATGGGCAGGCTACAGCTCTAGAACAACTGAGGGCGTCATGAACACGAACCCTTAATCCTGTTTTTAGTCCTTTACATGTAAATAAATATGTTAATACTTTACATGTCTATGTTGTATCATCATAATTACAAAAACCATTTGTTAAACAAATAGCCTGTGACACTGAAACTACAGGTCAGGTGTGTTCTAAGCCTTACATTCCAAGCAATCATCTGGTATATATATGTAGCTCGTAAGTGTTGAGCGTTAAACTGACAGAATTGAACACACCATGCTCTGGCGCTGCAGCGTGCTGGCGATCGCCGCCTGCTTCTCCGGTAAGTTATTTACTATACCAGCACCCACCACATTTTAGTAACTAAATTCCAATGAAATTATGAAATATCCCTTTCATGCGATTTCACCACGGTGCTCTGTTCCTCAATGTCCTATTATGATATACATGTTACTTTTAAAACCATGAGACAGCGTAAAACATATCTTTTTCGGGTTACACCTATTTCCAGTTAACATCGTCTCAACTAGTGAGTTTAAATGTGATGTGCGCATGCGCATTGAATCTGGTTGGGTATGCGGTCTGCGTAGACGTGGAGAATACAACACTGAGTACGCTAGCTTCAGGGGCATTCCGTATGGCCAGCAACCCTTGGGGGAGCTGCGGTTTAAGGTGAGCTACTAACCATTATAATAACACGAGACGAGATATTTCAATGGAATAACACTATTTCCACATTACAGGAGCTTCAGCCAGTTAAACCGTGGCCTAATCATTTGGATGCCACAGAAGAAGGTCCCATATGTCCTCAGACTGATGGGCTTTACGGAGATTTGGTGGCCCCCACACAGGGTATGAGTGAATCTTGCATCCATGCCAATGTCCATGTGCCCTACGACGCTCTTCCAGTTGTTAAAAGTACTGGTGAAGACGAAGACAAAGATTATGATGGAAACAAGAAAGGTGTTCCTATTTTAGTTTTTATTCATGGTGGAGGTTTTCAAGTAGGATCAGGAGACGCTGATCTTCACGGACCAGAGTACCTCGTCAGCAAGGGAATAATTGTGATCACTTTCAATTATAGGTATGAATTTGTATTTTTAATGTCATATTAGTGAAATGTAACACACATTTCAATGACTTGTGTCAGAGAGTGAGGGAAAAGGGAGTGCACTTATGTTTGCGCAATGCGCACATACTTTACACTATAATATCTCCTGCGTATTGGACTAGTTTAGTTTTAGTTATACTTGCCCCTATGACCAAAATTGATAGGCAAGCTTTATTATTATTATTCGTTATTTGTTGACATATTATATCAGTTAACCGGATTCTAAGTTGCATGCCTAGCTAAATGCCGACATTAGGTGTAATAATCTCACAGAAAAAATTGAATCACCAGGATTAACGTGTTTGGCTTTCTTTCGCTAAATACTCCCAAGATCCCTGGCAATATGGGTCTCAGAGACCAGGTGACGCTGCTGCGCTGGGTTCAGCGAAATGCGAGAGCTTTTGGTGGAGACCCGAGCGATGTAACGCTAGCGGGGGAGAGTGCAGGAGCAGCCTGTACCCATTTACTGTCTTTGTCAAATGCCACCAAGGGACTTTTTAAAAGGTAATAAGTAATAAGATTAATGGTGATTCACGTAGAATAAATATTGTTTCATACTTCCACAAACATTTTAACACTAGAAAGACGGGAGCAGTCATTTGACCGCAATTTGATTTTAAATGTTGAATAACTTGAAATCTATTTGAGTTTTTAAACTGAGACTTTGTGACTTTTATTTATTTTACTAGTTAAATGCAACTACGTATGAAAATAAATCACAACTCTTTTATTTATTATTTAAAATCTTGATCTACCGACAAAGACGGCGGCAGTCATTTGACTGCTGACAACCAATGAGTGTTTATAAGTGTAATATGAGAGGGTAGAATACAAATTATATACACTAATTCATTGTTTATAGTTTGTTTATCAAATGAGACCGTATCATTTCAAGTGTCTGTGAACTTTTACGAAATTATTGAAAGTAGTTTGTGGTCGCGACGTGTTGGAGTCTTGAAAATGAAAAAATGTTTGTTACTTCCAAAATATTTGTGAAGATGAGTCTGATTTTGACTCTAAAAATACAAAACGTGATAGCGACGACGATTATGTGGTACTACTTGTCAGTTCGAATCCTCTACGGATGGAAGTGACCTGAAAGACCAGATACTTCGAGCAAATTTATCAGACGTTGACAGGTCGGGTTCTCGTGGTTGTAGTTGTTGCTGAGGTAGTGATAAAAGCTGTGAAAGGAGTTTGGAAGATCCTGAGCATCAAGGTCTTTTCACAACTATCGACTGTATCTTGTATACACCTCAGATGGCATCTACTCTAAGTGGTCAAAGGTCGATGAATCTGTTGATACAGATGCGTCTTGTAAACTTTTTGCAAATACTGGTGGTTTTCATATTTGAGACCTAGCAAAGATATGACATAATTTAGATAATTTTACTTTTCAGATATACAATTCCTTCATTTGGTATAGGAAAATGTAGAATATTACATGAAACAAAGGCTATTTATACTAAGTTCAGGGGCGAACTTAGAAGCAAAGTATAAATTGAAGAAGACTCTCTGAAACTGAATCCTTGCCTGAATAGTCTAGATCTTTTACTTCACAATCTTCAGCACAAAATCCAGTAAATTCCAAAATATTATATAGACAAATGCAAATACAAAACCCATAAAGAATGCGACAATTGCAAAAACCCACTTTGCGGCTTTTGTAATGTAAACAAAATGATAAAAATATAAATTCTATACATATTACTTAATTAACAGTATATTATACCATGTTTAATACTATAGGTACCATTTCTAGCACTTAAACATATAAAAATATCAAAAAACTTGGAGCAGTCATTTGACTGCTCGCCGTCTTTGTAGGTAGATGATTTTTTCCGTCTTTCTAGTGTTAAATATGGACGTCATTCTTTTTTAGGGTTATAATAATGAGTGGTACCGCCGTACCAGCATTTTATGCAGTTTCTTCGATCTATGCTAAACAATCAGCAAATAGATTTCTAACAATCTTAGGGATCAATTCTACAGACCCAGACCTCATCCATGACCAACTTGTTAAAACCCCACTCGAGGACATTTTAAATGCTAATGCCGTGTACCAGGACGAGGGCGGGTTAGTTTCTTTTGTACCAGTGAGGGAAGACAAACAATTAGGACTTGAGAAAATTGTAGATGATGACCCAATTACACTTATGGAGCAAGGTCGAGGGAAAGAATATCCAATGATAGTCGGTTTCAGTACAAACGAGTGCGAATTTTTCAAAAAAAGATTGTTTTACATTGATATTTTGGGTCGGATAGAAGCGAACCCACTCGTGATTTTAAGACCTGAAATTTCATTTTCAACGATGTCTGATGTAGCCCTCTCACTGGCCAATAAAGTAATTGACTGGTACTTCCACGGAGAACTAAATATGGAGGACTATTTAGAAGTATGCAGAGATACATTGTTTATGTATCCAGCATTTAAAGTAGTTGAGTGGAGGGCTAGATTGCACGATGCCGCACCAGTCTACTTGTATCAGTTCGCTTACGAAGCAGACTTCAGCACGGTGAAAGCAGGTCTCAATCTGCAGTACAATGGCACAGCTCATGTTGAAGACCTCACTAACATTTTCCGCGGGAATGCAATTCTCGATGACGGGCAGACTTTCCCTCCCGTCAGTAGAGATGACTCCATGAAAGATTGGATGACTCAATTTGTGGTTGACTTCATGCATTGCAAGTAAGTTTACAACTTATACAGAAAATTGTTTAAGACTAATATAGGAACAGAAAAACTAACAGTTATAAACATTTTGTAGATTTTAACTCGTCGAGTACCGGTTTTGTAGACACAATTATAGAACAATAGGTTGCGGTCACCGGTGACCGCTTGGTGTTTGACAGTTTAAACAATCATTTTATTTCATTTCAGTAAGCCATCCTGCTCCGAGCCGGGCTGGTATCCAGTGCAGGCAGATCACTTGAACTATGAGAACATCCAGGAACCGACTGTACACGACAACGTACTGCCGAACGAGTACCAACAACACACAATCAAGTTCTTCGATATGATCGAACAAATTGCAAGGTACGGATGTCTGTTCCCAAATAAGCCCAGAGTGCAAAGAATTCAGAATGAGTAAGTGTTCAGCTTCTTATTTTTCACGTTGTTTCAGGAACTCCTCACTGGATACTTCCATAACTACACACTGATAGACGACAAAGTAACGACAAGCATCAGGAGGAGCCGGCACGAACCAAACTTAAAATTCTGATATTTTCTGTTACTAATCGTGAAAGCCAGTAATTGGCTTCTTGTTGCATACCACATTCTATTTAATCAAATTGTATAGCTGTTGGTTTTCCAAATGTATAAATAGATAAATAAATAAATAAATCTTTTCTACTCGGACTTCCCGTATAAAAATAAACACTGTTCTGGCCTCTGGTACTTACGCCGAATATTTAGATATATTTTTTATCACAGTACTCTAAATTTTGAGTTCAGATCCTCTTATGTACGTAAAAGAGCCATCAGACCACTACGGATGGGGTACTACTGTTTCCGCCAGTATTTCCGAAAAAACTTTAAACCTATAATTAATAAACAAATCGTACTACTCGCAAGGCACTTGGGGTATTTTAATGTTGTCCATAGAAGACACTAATCGCTTACCATCAGGTGATGCGTCTATCGGCGGCTATTATAATATTACGTTGTGAACGTCAAAATATTAAAAATTAATATGTCTTAACAAAGATTTATTTTTTTAATATAATAAAAAAATATTAACGTAATAAGTATGTACCTATGTATTAGTATGGACCATGTGTATTGAAATTACAATTATTTGGTGAACAATGATAACTGTCAAGGTATACCTACAACATTATACACAATTCTTGATTCCAGTGTAAACCTCTTTTCAAACATTTGTTTCATCATTATCATCAACAGCCTATACGTGCCCACTGCCCACTGCTGACCAAAGGCTTGCCAAATTTGTTTCATTACTTGAAGCCATTTTGGAACTTTATTCCGGAACTGGAATAGAATCGAGGACGTGTTATCGTCTGGTAACAACTGTAGAATGTAGGTAGATAGTAACTTATAACAATCAGACTAATTGTTGAGTCTCTCGTACTTGGAGGTTTTGTTTTATACTTGGTAGGTCGACGTTTGGACACTACGTCGCCTGGTGGTAAGCGATGATGTGACCTAAGATGGAGCACGCCTACCTACATACCCTGTCCCGGCTTCGTACATTGGACATTGTCTTTTCAATAATGTTCATCATAAAGATAGTGTACCTTGAATGTTTAAGCAGGCTATGCCGAAAAATGTCTAACACTAATCAAACACAAATACTTCTATTGTTAAGTCGAATTACCAACTTATTTCTTTGTGTTTTTTTTATCTTTACTCGTACATTATGTCTCAAGTATGTATGCACTTTCTATTTACATAAACGTACTAATAATGTGGCCCAGTTTGTACCGGTGCAACGCTACTATTGCACATGTTTAGATACAAAAGTAGTTATAGACCCATATAATGTTATATATACTTATAACTAGCTTCTGCCTATGACTTCGTGTGCGTAATCTCGTTTTTTCCCGTTCCCGTTCGTGATTTTTGGTAAAAAGTAAAAAGCAGGTATTCTATAAAAAGAATCCTATGTCCGTCTCCTGGTTCTAAACTACCTCTCCACCAATTTTCATATAAATCAATAAGCCATTCTTGAGTAATAAATAGTGTAACTAACACGACTTTCTTATATACATACAGCCTTGGTCAAAAGTATTGAGCACCTTACAAATTTCGCTCATTCACGATAAGTGTGGGAAAAAACTAAATCTAAGTATAGTTGAAGAATTCTTTTGTCAGTCATCTACAAAGGTTTAAAAACAATGAGTCACGCCGCAGCTAGCAACAAAACACCTGGGTGCAATAAAATGTGTATTTTACAATTTTTGTATTTATTTATCAGTTCGCTATCATCGCTCGTTGTGAACACATTCAGTGATCTACTGCGCTTTTTGTATTTTATTTCGGAAGTTTTTAGTGTTATCGTTGCAAAATGCCTTAACGAAACGAACTTTCTTTAGTAAAACGTGTGCAGATACAGCTTCTGTATGAGCAAGGGAAATCGCAAGGAAAGATTTCCAAAACTGAGAATGTTCGCTCCGATCCGTGCAATATGCTATTCAGCGGTTCTCTGCTACCGGATCACATGAAAATACCGTCCGTCCGACCGTCACGATCGTCAGTTACTGAGAGAGTCATTAAGAAATAGGAACAAAACATCTTCCGAGCTCGCTGCTGAGTTGTCAGAACAAATTAAGAAACCAATTTCTGTTCGAACTACTCGTAGAAGGCTTCAAGAAGCTGGTCTGAAAGGATGTAAAGCTAGGAAGAGGCCACGACTCTCCGACAACAACAAAAAAGCTCGGTATAAATGGGCCTTAAACACCGATCTTTTACCGCTGAAGTTTGGTGAAATGTTGTGTGGTCTGACAAATCAAACTTTGAGGTGAGTACGTCAGTTTAATGTCCTAATACAATTTTGAAAAACCAAACGTATAAAAGTAATTTTAGTTTTACAAAACTCAATATTTTTTCCTTTTTTACAGATTTTTGGTACACCTGGTGTGATCTTTGTGCGTCGCCGTGTGGGCAAACAATTTAAGCCAGAATGTGTGATCCCAACCATTAAACACGGCGGCGGCAGCATAATGGTCTGGGGTTGCATTACCGATTCTGAAGTTGGCGAATTGTTCGTGTGTGAGGGCCGCATGGACTCCATCAAGTACATAAATGTACTAGAAACTGCTTTACTCCCTTCATTCAAGAAACTTTTTGGTGACACGAACATGGATGGTGTTCAATTCCAGCAAGATAACGCACCATGCCACAAATCTGCCCGCACAATGTCATGATTTCGGGAAAACAACGCGGAGCTTCTTGACTGACCTGCCCAGTCTCCAGATCTGAACCCCATAGAACATTTATGGGGTTTATTAAAGCGCAGGATTAGGCGCCACACAATCAACAACAAGGAAGATTTAAAACGCTGCCTGCGCCTAGAATGGAACGCAATTCCTTCTAAAGACTGTAATAATCTCGGTCATAATTTACCAAAAATAATTTCTGAGGACCAACAAAGTATTGATTTTCTATTAATAAATAGTAAAATAAACCCATATAAAATGTTTTGTTTTAGTTCAATTTGAAACTCAGCTTAAAACTTAAAGATGTCATGGGTGCTCAATACTTTAGGCCAAGGCTGTATATAGAAGATTGGGACAACCCGCAGTGTTACATTAGGTCTTACACTTAAGTACTTACATAATAATTAAATGCACAACATTTCAAGGTGTCACAACATGCACAGTAACCTGACGATGACTTAAATGATACATTTTTGGGATGATTCAAATTGGACGTTTGGTTTTGAAGTGTACATTAAAATATTACGATTTCAGCTGCACGGCCCGTTGCGAAGTGGGCGTCACCAAACAGGGACGAGAGTTCAGATCACGCATAAAAAAAATCTCTATCTTTTAAACCACTTTTTGTTTGAAATTCGGTACAACAAGACACAGAATAGTTTTTTCACTGATATCTTACAGGACGGGTACTGTACGGGTAAAAACCCTGGGACATTGTTTATTTTTTGAAACCACGAAATTAAATTCATTTGACAAATAAAATTAACTTCGTTACTGATACTATTATACCTTGGAAAAGACTAATTCACTAATCCAAATTTTGCTAGAAGTCATTATTCCACACAGACGAAGTCGCGGGCTACAGCTAGTTATTTAAGTTTGAGAAGAACATTTCCGTCATAAATGATTTCTGTGTAGCTTTAACCATGAAGCTCTTACACGCGACGAAGCTTAAAAAATGGAGTAACTTCTCCTGTTTTCCCAACATTTCTTTTCACTTGCTCTGCTCCCATTAATTGCAGCATGATGAAAATTATACTATAACCAGCTCAGGAGGATAAACAATAAATGTACCGAGTTTTGTTATATTCTGTCGAGTACTTTTCGTTTCACAGAATTGACCTCTCTACAGATTTATTATAAGTATAGAGGTATAGATCTTCTTTGTGCCTTTAAGCTTAATTCATTCTGTCTCCTGCAGTAATTCACCGAGGGAAGTGGAAACTATAGTTTTTTCTTCTTCTCCTCTTATAATATCTTCTGATTTACTTCGCTGCGGGAACCAAGACAGTTACTCATGTCCCTGGGATGCGCCGGACTTCAATGTTCCGGTGTTTTCATGGTTGTATCTACTGTAGATCCTGGCTTACAGGAGTTGCAGTGGTTTTGTGAGGTTGTGGCGGGCTTGTCCCATTAAATAAAAAAAAAAAGTATATAGATGTAACATGTTTTTGTGGTCATGTTTTAGTGCACTCCAAGCTGCACGTTATCAAACCCAGCCACAGACACATAGAGCCAAATTAAATGTTTATCAGTACAATTTATTTGCACGGATCGAGATCCACGTCATTCGTGTTTTTGTACTATTTCAGCAATCATTATAATGTACGGTACACACCGAGTACTCGATCAACCTGAACGTAAGTTATAATATTCTCTAAATTAAACTAATTCTTTCTCTGGGTCATCCAACTAGCGCTGTCCCTAAGTCAGGCTTACAATGGAGCGATTGCTATCTGCCCTCTAATAGCTAAGGACACACTGTTGGTCATAATCAGTCATATGTTTGTTTACCTTATGTGCCATTATTTAATCCAATTGTGAAAATCAAAGACTAAATAAATAAATATTGTGTTAAAACTTAAATAGGGAATTATATTAAGAATGATTTAGATTTTCGAACGTGCTAGATACGCAGTGACAAAGCATTTATTCGACAAATCACATCACGTATCGTCGTAATTACAAAAACAATTTGATAAACAAATAGCCTGTGACACTGAAACTACAGGTCAGGTGTGTTCTAAGCCTTACATTCCAAGCAATTATCTGATATATATATGTAGCTCGTAAGTGTTGAGCGTTAAACTGACAGAATTGAACACACCATGCTCTGGCGCTGCAGCGTGCTGGCGATCGCCGCCTGCTTCTCTGGTAAGTTTCTTACTATACCAGCACCCAGCCACCCACCACCAGACGTGGTATCTTAGTAACTAAATACCAATAATATTATGGAATATCTGTTTAATGCGATTTCATTTCATCACGGTGCTTTGTTCCTCAATGTTCTAGTACGATATACACATCTGGACACATCTATTGGCCCACCTTAGAGTTTAGGTTTCGATGGCCACTACCGAAATATGGTTGCTAGATTGAACAAAAACTGTTGATGCAGTTTTAAACCTGGTACATTTTACCATCATCTTCGATCGTATTGTTTTAAA